TAGGGTTTAGGGTTTAGGACTGAAGGGTTTATGAGGGTTTATTAGGGTTTGCTAGGGTTTGTGGTTTAGGGGGGGTTTTATCTAGAAGATCAAAGGAGTAAATTCGGCACATTGCTGGAGTTAAAGAGGCCCCTAAAAGTTGAGCGGTGGCTCAGTGGAGTGTCTTTTCAGGTTCGTTTTCTATTTCTCCTTCCCTTTGGGGTTTAGGGTTTAGGGTTTAGGGTTTAGGGTTTGAGGGTTAGGGTTGGGGGTTTAGGGTTTTCTAGAGCGATTCGTGGGGCTTAGTAGGGAGGGCTTGTTAGGGTTTTAAGGAGGGTTTAGGGTTTAACAAACCCTCCGTAAGGGTTTGTTAGGGTTTAGGGTTTAGGGTTTATGAGGGTTTAATTTAATGCATTTTAGAGTTCAGTGGGGTCTCTGAGGGTTTATAACATTTTCTTTGCTTTTGTTTGTCTCCTTCATATTGTTCTTGACGCTTCGCTGCTCTTCTTGGGGTCTTCTCTTGCTGCTGCTTCTGCTGCTGCTGCTGCTGTTGCTACTACTACTACCACTGTTGCTGCTGCTCGTTCTCATACTACTACTACTACCGCTGCTGCTGCTGCTGCTGCTGCTGCTGCAGGTGGGGCGCACAGTAATATCGATATCAATTCGCCGTCATTGGAACCTCCTCCCTTCTTGTCTCCGTTCACAGAGAAGCATTGATTGCGGTGAGTGCTTTATAGCTGCTGCTGCTGCTGCTGCTGCTGCTGCAGTAGTAATAGTAGTAGTAGTTCCTCTTGCTGGTGCTGCTGTTGGTGCTGCTGCTGCTGCAGCAACAGCAACAGCAGCAACAGGAACAACGTCCGCACTTTTACAACAGCCCAGCAGCAACAGCACCTACCAAGCGTGCACGTAGCAGCAGCAGCAGCAACAGCAACAGCAGGAGCAACAGCAGCAGCAGCAAGGATGTGTGTTGTGCGTTTTTCAGATGTGCGTTATATCGAATCAGGGGCCTCGCAGGGGGTCCCTGCTGCTCTTGCAAGCTTCAATTGGCATTCATTCTTAGGGGGGGGGCCCCCGGGGGGCCCCTCAGCAGCCTCGCGGCTGTCTGCTCTTATGCACAGACAAACAGCAGCAAGCCCTAGAATGCAGCAGGGAGCCATGCCGCCGGCTGCTGCTGCTGCGGCTGCTGCTTCTGCTGCTCCGCCTTCGTCGGCTGCTGCTGCAGCTACTGCGGCTGCCGCTGCTGCTACTGCTGCTGCTGCAGCAGGAAATGCAGCAGTTGCAGCAGGAAATGCTGCTGCTGCAGCTGTCTGCTCTTATGCACAGACAAACAGCAGCAAGCCCTAGAATGCAGCAGGGAGCCATGCCGCCGGCTGCTGCTGCTGCGGCTGCTGCTTCTGCTGCTCCGCCTTCGTCGGCTGCTGCTGCAGCTACTGCGGCTGCCGCTGCTGCTACTGCTGCTGCTGCAGCAGGAAATGCAGCAGTTGCAGCAGGAAATGCTGCTGCTGCAGCAGGAACTGCCGCTGCGGCAGCAGGGAATGCTGCAGCTGCAGCTGCCGCTGCAGAGCCAGGCCAAATCGCACAGCAGCAACAGCAGCAGCAACAGCAACAGCTGCAGCAGCATGCTAACGCACAAGCAGAGGCCCGTCAGCAACAAGGAGTGGAGGCCCTTGAGGAGAATCGAGCTGCTTCGCAAGAGAACAGCAGCGCAGCAGCAGGCAATCAGCAGCTGCAGCAGGAACAGCAGCAGGACGATGAGCAGGAGGAGCAGCAGCAGTTGCTGCTGCAGAGCGCAGGCAGGGTTTCTCCTAGTGGGCCCCCTCCACCACTACCTACATCTGCGGGTATATTAACAGCACAACAGTAAGAACAAGAGACAGAAGAAAGCTGCTTTTAAAGGGGCCCCTCTCCCGCTGTGAGGTGTACGTACACCTGAAGTGGGGCTGCATGCAAAGGGCCATAAGCTGCCTGCCCCCCAGGCCCTCTTTGGGGGCTCCACTTTGTTCTAGCGGCAACGTAGTGCAACGCAGATAGACTGGGGGGGCCCCCCAGAAGGGTTGGGGCCCCCCATTGCTTAGGGGGCCCCCGTAAGGGTTGGGGCCCCCCATTGCTTAGGGGGCCCCCGTGAGGGTTGGGGCCCCCCATTGCTTAGGGGGGCCCCCGTAAGGGTTGGGGCCCCCCATTGCTTAGGGGGGCCCCCGTAAGGGTTGGGGCCCCCCATTGCTTAGGGGGGCCCCCGTAAGGGTAGGGGCCACTGATTGATGGGGGGGGCCCCCATAAAGGCTGGGGCCCCCCATTGGTGGGGGGGGCGCCCATACACGCTGGGGCCCCCCACTGATTGGGGGGCCCCCATATGGGTTGGGGCCCCCCATTGGTGAGGGGGGCCCCCCAAGGATTAGGATTAGGGGGCCCCACACCGCTGGTTGGGGGGCCCCCAGTGATGGGGGGCCTTTAAATGCAAAGAAAGAATATAGAGTGTATGTGAGGGGCCCCCCTTCGCAACATAGGAGGAAGGAAACCCCTGAAAGCAACTACAGCAGCAGCAGGAGCAGCTGCTGCTGCTGCAGTGGTTGCTACTGATCTAGCAGTTGATGCTTTAGGGTTCAGCAGCAGCTGCTGCAGCAGCAAGCTGGTTTACTAGGGCTGTTGTGCTTTCTTATGGGGCTCCTCTCTAACTGCATTATTTTGTGTCTCGAATTATTAAAATAAATACTGTTTACTCAACTTCGCTTAAAGCAGCAGTTGCTGCTGCCTCGGGGGGTTGGCGCTGCTGCTGCTGCAGCAGCAGCAGCAGCAGCAGTACCAGTACCAGTAGCATGCATGCATGCATGCAGCCCCAGCAGATGCTCTCACTGAATTAATTAAACGCTGTAGTTTTGCTCCAACATATCTCTGCTGCATGCAGTTTGCTGCTGCATGCAGTTTGCAGCTGCACGCAGTTTGCTGCTGCATGCAGTTTGCAGCTGCATGCAGTATGCTGCTGCATGCAATTAGCAGCAAAAAAACTTTAGGGCTGGTACAGAGCTGCTGGTTCTCAAAAGCTACACTCCCAGATGCAGGACAGTGCCGCTGCACCAAGTGCTGCTGCTGCTGCTGCTGCTGCACTTGCTGCTGCTGCTGCTGCTGCGGTTGCTGCGCGCCCCCATCACCAGAGCAACTGCAGCATCTGCTGCTCTACGTAACTGCAGGGGAATCATGGGGCCCCCGGGGGCCCCTGATGTATACCGCCAAAGGCCGCAAAGCAGCAACTGCTGCTGCTGCTGCTGCTGCTGCTGCTGTTTCTGTGTCTTAATGATTTCTACGAGGTAGAGGGACGCAGCTCGCAGCAAAAGAGACGCAAGAGTCATATGACGCAAGGCCTCTGGGCCCTTCTGCTGCTGCTGTTGCTGCTGCTGCTGCTGCTGCTGCTGCTGCTGCGTTAGGGGGCAGCAAAAGGGGCAAACGCTGGGGTTTGCTGCTGGTAGGGGGGCCCTGAGTACCTGCTTGAGGCGCAGCAGCAGATCTCCGCTTTGTGTCTCTGCTGCTGCAGCAAAGGCCTCTTGCAGCTGCTGAAGTGATTCCTGCTGCAGCAGCAACCGCAGCAAAGGCTGCATACAGAACTCCTCAAACAGCACTATTGCTGCTGCTGATCGGTGGCTGCGGCAGCCGCTGCGCTTGCTGCTGCTGCTGCTGCTGCTGCTGGTGCTGCTGTCGCTAAGAAGATAGCAACAGAGTAACGAGCAAGTAGCCAGCAGCAGCAAAGAGGGAGGAGACAGGGGGTCCCCTTCTTGCTGCTGCTGCAGCAGCTGCTGCTGTTCAAGGAGGGCCTGCTCTAGAGGCGCTTCCGCGTGTTGCTGCAGCAGCAGCTGTTGCTGCTGCTGCTGCAGCTGACTATACACCTGAACCTCCATGAGGTAAAGACCCCTCATTAAATCTATTGCTTGGTTTACCTGTCCCCTGCTGCAGCAAGCTGCAGCAAGAGACAGATAAGGGTGTGTTGCTGCCTTCTGAAGCAGCCGCAGCGCTGCCTCGGTGTCTCCTCCCGCCCCACATGGGGTCCCTTCCTCTGCTGCTGCTGCTGCTGCTGCTGCTGCTGCTGCTGCTGGGTCGGTTGGAGAAGGGAGAGAAGCTATCTGCAGCAAGGCAACTGTGGCGGCTAGAAAGTGATTCTCCTGTGCTCCTTGCTGCTGCCGCTGTTGCTGCTGTTGCTGCTGCTGCTGCTGCTGCACCTGCTGAACCCCAGCAGCAGCAAAACACAGAGACGGCGAGAGACCAGCTTTCGTGCGAATTGCTGCGACAATCTGCTGCTGCTGCTGCTTCTGCTGCTGCCTGAGGAATGTCCCTAGCTGGGGACGCATGTAGCGCAGCAGGCGCGTTGTTGCTGCTGCTGCTGCATCTTCAGCAGCAGCAATAGCAGCAGCAGGTAGCGGGGTGCAGCAGCAGCAGCCGCGGCTACAGAACTGTCGATGTAGTTTCGGGTCGCCAAGGGGGGCCCCCAGGGGCCCCTTCAGCAGCAGCGTATCATCTTCTGCTGCTGCTGCTGCCTCAGTTTCACCCTCACCTTTCATAAAATTGCTGCTGCTGCTGTCGCTGCTACTGTTGCTGCTGCTGCTGCTGCTGCTGCTGCTAGGACTCCCCTCACCCTGAGCCAGCAGCGGCGGGTTTGAAGCCACTGCTGCTGCAGCAGCTGCTGCTGCTGCAGCTGGCGCAGCCGCTTCAGCAGCACCAGCAGTAGGTACTGCTGTTGTTATTGCGGCTCCTGCTGTTGCTGCTGCTGCAGAAGGAATCTGCTGCCCTGGTGCCTCTGAAGGCGAAGCGTGCTCCAGGCCAAGGCTGTGCGCTGCTGCTGCAGCATTTCCTGCTGCTGCTGCATCCTGAAAATAGTTAGAGGAGGAGACAGATGCCTCCTTGCGCCCAGGGGACAGGCGAAGGGGAGACCTGTTTACTGTAGCTGCTGCTGTTGCTGCTGCTGCTGTTGCTGCTGCTGCTGTTGCTGCTGCTGCTTGTTCTCTTGAAGACAAAGCGCTGCGCTGAGCCTCTGAAGCCCAAGGGCTGCTGCTGCAGGGGGCTTCACACCGGGGGCCCCTCAACTCCGTGCCAGGGGGCCCACTGAGCTCTGCTGCTGTTGCTGCTGTTGCTGCTGTTGTTGCTGTGGCTGCTGCAGCAGGAGCAGAAATATCCTCTGGTGTACATACACCCGGCAGCAATGCAGCAGCAGCAGCAGCAGCAGAAACTCCAGCAGCAGGAGAGAAGCGACCGTGGGGGCTCTGGGGCCTCGTGTCCCCTCCGTCTGGGGATGCTGCTGCAGCAACAGCAAACGAAGCTGCTGCTGCTGCTGCTGCTGCAGCTGCTGCTACAGTCGGAGAAGCAGCAGCAACTGGTGGAACGGCCGCTGACACCGCGGCTTCCTCTGCAGCAGCAGCACCAGCAGCAGCAGATTTGTCGCGGCCTACTGAATCTGCTGCAGCAACAGCAGCAGCAGACTCTTCTCCATCTATTGACATGTGCCTCAGGGGCTGCTGCGGATCCAGCCAGTTCTCCTGCTGCTGCTGCTGCTGCTGCTGCTGGTCCTTCTGCTCTTGCTGCCCGTGTAACTCCCCAGGAGTGAGTCTGCTGCTGTTGCTTCTGCTGTCTGTCTCCGCAACAGCAGCAGCAGCACCCACTGCTGTTGCTGCTGCAGTCCTTTCATGGGCAGCTGCTGTTGAGGGTTCAGCAGCATCAGCAGCAGCAGGTGCTGCTGCTGCAGTGCCCGCCTTGGCTGCAGTTGCTGCCGACTTCTCGTGGCCTGTGTGGGGAGTTCTGCCTGCTGCTGCTGCTGCTGCTGCTCTCCTTCTTGCTGCAGCAGCAGCACCTGCTGCTGCAGCTTCTGCAGCGAGCGATGGATAGAAACCCTTCGTAGCAGCAGCAGCAGCAGCAACTCGCCGGCGTCTGCATGCGGGAAGGCCTCCAGGAGAAAGGTCGCGCTTCAACTCTTTTCGCTTTGCTGTTGCTGCTGCTGCTGCAGCAGCTGCTGCTGCAGCTGCTGCTGTTGGAGCTGCTGCTGCTGGAGCTGCAGCTGCTGCTGCTGGAGCTGCAGCTGCTGCTGCTGGAGCTTCTGCTGCTGGAGCTGCTGCTGCTGCTGCTGGAGCTGCAGCTGCTGGGACTGCAGCTGCTGCTGCTGGAGCTGCAGCAGCTGCTGCTGGAGCTGCTGCTGCTGCTGGAGCTGGAGCTGCTGCTGCTGGAGCTGCAGCTGCTGGAGGTGCTGCTGCTTCTGGAGCTGCTACTGGGACTGCTGCTGCAGCTGGCGCTGCAGCTGGAGCTCCTGTTGCTGCAGGTGTTGCTGCAGGAGCTGCTGCTGGTGCTGGTGCTGGTGTAGCTGTAGCTGCTTTTCGTGGTGTTGCTCCTGCTGCTGTTGCTGCTGATGTGTTGGTGTTCGTAGTTGTTGCTGCAGCAGCAGCAACTCTTGCTGCAGCAGCAGCACCCGGTGCAGCAGCAGCAGGAGGCCGACTGCGGGGAGTTGCAGAGCCACCTCTTGAGGCGCCAGTGGC